GATGTATTATGATGATGATCGTTTCTATCATTATTCATATATTGATTGTCTATTGTTATTAATTGACGTTGATTTAATCTTATTAATTCTTCACGATCTATTTTACCATTAATAAATAAATTTAATTCATATTTATGTTGATGATTTAAATAGTTCGATGTAATTTTAAATGGTATAAATTTTTTCAATGATGAATATCGTAATTGATTGTCATTAGAATAGTAGTAATAATCCTTATTTAAATAATTGAGTTGATTATCTTTTTCATAATTAAGATCAAATATTAATTGACTATTCATATTTATATCTTTATCTATTACAATAATTGTATCAATATAATAATCTTGTATAGAATTTTCATAAATAGAATATTCATATAATTTCTTATCAAATTCAGGATATTCATCATTATAATCTTCTACAATAATATGAATATATAATGAATTTGATTTACTTATTTCACCTAAATCTTTAGCAATTACAGTAAAATTTAATGAATTATTTATTTCTCTATCTAATTGACCAGTTGTTTGTATTATACCATTTGTTTTATTAATTTTTATAATATTTTGAATTGAATTTTCTACAATATAATAAATAATTTCTGCATTTTTACCAATGTCCTCATCAGTTGCATTTACTTGCATGATGTAATAATTAATTTCAGCTCTTAAAGGATCACTATCTTCCATTACTTTTATATATTCATTAGTTTTTGAAAATTTTGGTTCATTATCATTAATATCTGCTATATGTATTTGTGCTACATATTCTGTAGTCAATGGATTACTTCCTAGATCTGTACATTTGATTGTTGCATATACTGTAGCATTTTTTTCACGATCAAATGAGACAACTGCTGACATTTTATATATAATTAAATCATTAGTTTGTAAGTCAGATAACTGATTCATTTCATAGTTATCAACCATCAGTTTATCACCATTGGACTCATAGCCAATTAATGTTAATTTAAAAAAATCGGATGAATTTCTGTCTAGTTCACATTTAACCTGGCCATTACGTCCACTATCATCATCAGTAACACTGACCAAAGCAAAATCGACTGGAAATATTGAAGCTGGTAAATGTTCTTGTATTGTCAATTCATGACTACCATTCGGTGTATATGCAGAAATGACAGGTTTATGATTATTTACATCAATAACTTGTATGAACAATTCCATTGTATCATACAGTAGATTGTCTATCATACTGGAGTCCATATTATTTACTAGTGATTTATAATAGTAATGTCTGTCAAATACTTCATGAGTTAAATTATTATTCACAGTTTTATTATCAATCTCTTCAGTTCTTGGATTTCTCACCGTGATTAAAATGTTCAATTTTGGCCTTTCTTTATAATCTAATGGTTGTTTTAAAAATAACGAACCGTTTTGAGGATTTATATAAAAGTGTGAAGTGATATAAGGTGAATTTCTAAAGCTTAATTCAAATATTAGTTGGCTGTGTATTGGACCTGCATCTAAATCGCGTGCTTCTGGTGTATATATAGGCTTATTTGTTTCAGTATTCTCCAAAATAGACAGATGTACATTTTTTTGAAGAAATGTTGGTGGGTGATCATTCACATCGATAACGTGTACAATAACATTTAAGAAACATTCATTTCTTTCTCCGTTTAAATCTTCAGGATAACCGATAAAGTCACGAGTCGTAATTGTTGATTTTGGCTTTTCCATTGAACTACTGGCGACAATAGTCATACTGAATTCTTGAATGCTTTCGTAATCTAGCGATTGTTTAATCAGTAGGGAGAGGGCGTAGGGAGAAACCTTCGAACTAGTATTTGTTATCATCAAATCAAAAATTTCATTTAAAGAAACATTAAACTTTTGATCAAATTTCAATTTAATACTAGATCGATGGATTCCATTTCCAGGTCCTAAATCTAAATCTACCAATTGATTAATAGGTACTTTTATCATGTTTCTTTGGTCTAATAAACCTTCCATCACATACATTTCTTGTTTATTCGCTGGTAGAAATTCACAAACATTATCATCTATATCTTTAATTGTAATAATCAAATGTATTACTTCAACTATATCGACACCGGAATTCATAACTCTTAAAATATTGACATTCAATGTGATTTGACATAGAGAATCGAAATTTGTAACAGCATCATGAATATTAGAATTAGTATGAAATAATGTTTTTGGACAAATATTCTCATGATCTAATCGTTGATTAATTTGTATTAGACCAGTTGTTACATTAACAGAAAAATATCTTGAATATTCACTGGTGATAATACGGAAACGAAGTTGTTGCTTATCCAAATGAAGTGTAGCTGGCAGTTTCGATGCTAAATTACCGATGATAGTCTTTATTGGTAGTTCTTCTAGTATGGTAAATTGAGCAGTTAGTAACAAATATGCGGGTTTTATATGGACAAAAAGAGAAATCAGAATGTAGGGTAGATTTGTCATCCTTTCTTTTATTGTTCGTGTTTTTACTGAACTACTGACATCTGAAGTTTGTAAAAGAATAATCTATATATTCATAAGATAATTTTAATAAAAATCGTGGAATTTCAAGTAATAGGCAATGAAACTGTGATTTAATGGTTAAGAGCTAGCAACAGGGTCAAATTTCATATTAGGACGAAAACGTTCTCTAGTACTCTCTGGTTTGCAACGGTTACCTAAGATCAGTTCATGATGCAAATTATCAAATTCAATAATCATTACAAATCATATGCACCAATGATATATTCCCATACTAAAACAAAACAACCTTCCAATGCTTCCATGTTTTCCATGATGATCTAGCTTTAATTGATTCATGATTTCAACTATTAAAAATAAACATTACATTGAGTACAATCCATTGTTATTGTTTAACCGAAATTTTTTTTTTTTATAAATCTAAACACAATTGTTGATCTCTTAACAATTAAAACAAAAACAAACTAATCCTATTAATTATCTAAATCTTTCAGTCTTTAGGATCGAAATATTTAATCATAATGACACATATAACTTTCATTGTACATTGAAATAATCATTATAGATAGAACTTAATTGATACTTACAACTATGATTGTTTTTCAAATATAAAATGAATACTATAATCATTATCATTTATAATGATATCATGATTTTTTTTATTATAAGTAAGCAGAATGTAAATATATAGTGAAGATAAATTTTATCAGAATGGGTTTTGTGGAGATTTTAGAAATTTCACAGATTGAAATCATGAGGCAGTTGAAACTAGACCACCATTGAAAACCTGGAAGCACTGGACGGCCGTTTCATCCTAGTATGGGACTCCTCAGCAGTGCGCATCCACGATCCCGCACCACCCGGAGCTCGAACCCAGGACCTACTGGCTTCGCGCGCGAGCACTTAACCATTAGACCACTGAGCCGGCATCCAACGGTGTTAATGTCTAACTTCAACCAATCCACGAAGTTGCGCCACCGTACACTATTGTCTTCAGTGAGTTCCTATCTCACAACAGACCTGGTTGTACTCTACTGGTAACGGCTTCTCACTCGAACTTCAGGAGTTTTTCCTGAAGTCAGTCACTAGTGAGCATTCTGATAATAATCAACTGCTCACTAGTGGTGGTCTAACTTCAACTGACTCATGATTTCAATCTGTGAGATAAATTTTAACTTTATTAACATGTTATAAGCCCTCAAAGTATATAACACACCTAGAAACTTGATAAAAGAATCCAGGTATAATTGAACATAAAACTTTCTTTTTTTTCCAACTGTTTATGTAATAAAGAAATTCTTTAGTTTTAACCTTCAAAATTATCAACCTCTATATCTTATTGACTATAAAAACCAAATGAAGTCCTATAAAAGGTGATACACTGATACACATATTTAATTGTATTAGATTCGAAATTATTTTCATTTTCATAAGATTAAAGAACTAAAAAAAGGTTATTTAATCATGAAACAGTGAAAAGAGATAGAAATTAGAATACTTATTCCCAAAAATTATCAAACACTAATCAATTTAAAGTAAAATCTTTGTGTTGATTATTCAATTTAAAGTTAGTTGCCTTCATCAATTAACATTGACGATATTGGTTATGAAACAGACAGTTTATAATAAAGAATAATTATTACATCATATTCTTAAGTGATTAGAATAGGAAATGTGAATAAGTGAATCTTAAGTTAATTATCTAAAAGTATTGTGCTGACTAATTAAGACAGACAAACCTGAACAAAAATAGATATTCAGTTCTTCATAGCATCATCGATGAACAAGGAGGCTCAGATGCAGACGTAAAGGCAAGGATTGGCAAAGCAAGGGTCGCATTCCTACAATTGAAGAACATATGGAACTCAAAACAACTTTCAACCAATATCAAAGAGAGAATCTTCAATACCAACGTCAAGGCAGTTCTACTGTATGGAGCTGAAACTTGGAGAACTACAAAAACAACCATCAAGAAGGTACAAGTATTTATAAATAGTTGTCTTCGCAAGATACTCAACATCCATTGGCCGGATACCATCAGCAACAACCTTTTGTGGGAGAGAACAAATCAGCTTCCAGCTGAAGAGAAAATTAGGAAAAGACGATGGAAATGGATAGGACATACATTGAGCAAATCGTCAAACTGCATCACGAGACAAGCCCTAGTGACTTGGAATTCTGAAGGGAAGCGGGAAAGAGGAAGGCCTAAGAACATATTACGTCGGATAATAGAAGCAGATATGAAAAGGATGTATAGGAACTGGAAGGAGCTGGAAAGGATTGCCCAGGACAGGGTTGGATGGAGAATGCTGGTGAGTGGCCTATACTCCTTCACGAAGAGTAACAGGCGTAAGTAAGTAAGTAAGTCTTCATAGCTCTTCATAGTTCCACAACTATTTTCATTCCTTGATACAAATTAACTGAATATAACTTTATTATTCTAAAAGAAATTTGTCTATTTTAAAGAATTAAAATAATTTAATAAATCGAATTCCAATTATTGTTATTATTTCATACATATAGTTCCCTTTATCATTTTGAAAAGAGCAAGAACAAACATTAGTGCAATCACCAAACATCTTCTTGATACAGGACATCAGGTCGATACCCTACAATCATTCAAGATGATTAGTAAGCAGCCAAACTCCATTCTTCTGAAGTTTGCTGAAGTAGTTGCTATCAGGTGCCAAAAGCCTGATTTATGTGTTCAAAAGGAGATGATTATTAATCTTTCCTTGCCTTGGTGATTAATATTCCTTTGTTTTATCTTAATAATTTTTTTTCTTTTTCTTTAAACTCTTTCTTGCATTTATTACACCATTATTTTATCAACTGAACTCTACTCATTTTATTCCTATCAAGGTTTATTTGTTTCTAACCGTTTGAACTGTTATCACAATGTTCATTCATCACATACGGTATATATTTACAATATTCAGTCTATTAAATTTATTTACACCCTTGCTATACTACTATATGAATATGTCTTTATTATAACTTCCAATCAAACTCTTTTATGTAAGTAATTTAAACCCATTAATTATTATTTTGAATATCACAAGTTGTTAGCAGCTGATGAGAACCAACGAAATAAAAATGAATTCATGTCATTCTGCTAGAATGTTTGTTCTTGCTCTTTTCAATATTGTTATTATAATAGATCATATTCTTTACCTAAATCATAAGTCAATTGTAGTCTTATTGTATATGTCATTTTTAAAAAAAAGAAGTCTATTGAATAGTAATGTTACATAATCAGATACAATAAAATATAAACCAAAAATAATTAACTTATAAAAGCATATTACTTATTAAATTAATTGTACATTTTATATCTTTGTACAAACTATTACATAATAAGTGATACTGAGATGAAGAGAAGAAGAAAAAGAAGCTTAATATAAAGTAGAAACTATAATTTGATTAATATTTTCTTTGTTTAGGGAGAGAAGAAAAAAAGGGAACATAATCAAAGTAAAATATACAACATCAAAGAATATGAGATTAGAGAAAGTGAATAATCATTCAGAATTAGAATTTAATAAAAGTATTTCAATTTTCAATGTATGTTAAGATGTTCTACATTTATGGTAGATAATAAAAGATGAGTAATTTTGAATAAATTACTTAATAGTAAATAGAAGTTTCAAACTATTTAATTATAGAAGATTGTTATTTGTATTCCAACAACAACGACAAAAAAACAACCCAGTAAATTCAAATCAATCCAGTTACATTAAAAGAATATTTGTAATTGGTTTAGAAAATCCAGTTAATAAATACCTATGTACAGTTTCAATGAATTAGAAAGGTCATTTATTGTTGTTTCTGGCTTATAAACATTAATGAATTATTAATCTTACTAATACATGATAAATAAAGTGAGAATGTATATACTAAATTTGTGCCTCTCTCGGAACACAGATTTGCCCTTAAATGCCCTGGTATGGCCGAGAGTAGGGAGAGTCCGCTCTCCCTCTCGAAATGCTCTCACATGACCACTCGTATATATCCTCTGCCAGGGAAGTCCTACTCACTGCCTTCTCGTGGCGGGGGTATTGTCTACGAAATTGAGAGGACGAAAAGCGAATGTATGGTGCTTTAACCGGATTCCAAACCAATGATGCACATGGGCTACAGTATCCTGCGGGAACAAATGGCGTATGAACCAATTGTTGATCACCGGCCTCCATGTGGCTGCATCTCCTCACGATGCTCCACTGCCTTGTGGATCAGACATTCAGGTCGAAGGCTGGGGGAGTGGCTCCCTAAGAAAACCACCTGCTTCGGTTTGGGCACCCGAGCAGTATCACAGCTCTCACACATATCGAATGAGGTTTGTGTGGCGCATATATATTTGGTGCCTCTTTGTACTAATATCTATGTGTTGAAATAAATAATCTAACTCTTCAATTATTAGTTACTGAATTTGGCAATAGTAATATTAAACTAGTAGATTTAATTTAAATGTGATTGGATTCCGTTTTAATTATATGATATTGTGAGTCATACATATAAACTTTTATTACATCTGAAATTTACAAATCATAAAGAAAAAAAATTATTATTTAACCATATTAATGTTATGTCACGATGAGAATGATGAATGGTAACTGTCAGAATCTATTTCTGGACAAATACTATACGTATGTTTTTATCGTATAATTGTGAAAAAAACTAAACTATTCATATTCGTGTTCCTTTCATCATAAGTTTTATTTTGATCTATGAACTATTATTATACGATTTACTATTCTTAAGTTATACCCAGTTACTATCTCTCACACTCATAGCCAATTTTGGCTAAATCTTGTACAAATGTGAATTGTTTGATCGGTATATAAACCCAGAATGTTTGAAATAAATGATTCATACCACAGAAGCTAAGATTGGTATTCTGGACTTAACAGGCAGGGCTAGGCGGGAAGCAGGATCGATAAAGACTCTAGACTGCTTGTATGGGTTTTATGCGTCATTGGTCCGGTCGATAAATCACTGTTCTCTAATTAGCGGTATCATTATGTTATATATTAATAGGACACAGCGCACAAGTTATAACAGTTAATTAAATACGTTAATGGTGAAAAGAAACGGTTCCTCTTTAATGACCTTTTTATATTGGTTAGATCCACGTTAACATTTCTCCGAAACACTGTATATCACATATAGTGGTGTGAAGTTAATGATTAACATTGGTAACAATTAAATTTTTGATAGAATGACGATTATACAGTTTGTGATTCATTAATACCTATGAACAATTTCAAGTTGTTGTATGTTCTCTGTATGAAGAAAAATAAACATTTAATTAAACAAGAATTATAACTCACTTGATATTGTTTTACTTGAATCTTCCCATTGATGTTTTAGGACTGAAGTTGATCAGTCTCTTATTGGCATATGTGCATACTGAGCGTATGCCTCGATATTGCCTTAATTTACAAGCATTATAAAAAAGGATGGATAGTGGCTAGCAGTGGAATTCAAGCTAAGTGGATAACGCGATGGCGTTTGAAGCGAACGGTACTGAATTCGAGTCCCAGAGTGAACATCAACTCTAAGATGCAGGTACATCCAGCTGACGAGTCCCAAACAGGACGAAACGCGCGTCCTGGATTCCACTGCTAGCCACTATCCATCTCTGCTTATAAAGAATTATAACTGTTAGTTCTTCATTCACGATTATTTAATAAACTCTAGAGATCATTGTGAACTTGTTTTAACTAACTTTTTAAAAAAATAATAAAGGACATCATTTATTGAACCAAGTGTTCAGTAGTTCAAACAGTCATGATACCAATGTGTTTGAACAAACTATATGTACAATAATTTTGTTAGAATTCAGTTCACATAAGTGAAATGAAACCTGCGTTGAAAATGTTTTTTGTTCACTGAATCACATCAAAATTGTTTTCTATATTATAAGTTTCTTAAACGTTTACAATTTGTGTGATTGGTTTATAGTGTTAATAGAATAAGTATATACTTTACAGAGTTTTTATCAATGAGTTAAAATACAACATTTTCTTTTATACCCAATCACTAAGTAAAAATCCTGAACTATTATAATGGAATTTAAAACAGAGTTTATTGAATATTAAACATCAAAAAATGTGTTAACACAGGATTTTTTTATGTCTGATTACTTAATTAGATTTATTGATATCGATTATTACTGAGATTTGACAATCTTTCTTCCTTACTTACTTACGCTTGTTACCCTTCATGGAGGAATATAAACCGTTCACCAACATTCTTTATCCAACTCTGTTGTGGGCAATCTTTTCCAGTTCTTAATCATGCTCTTCATGTCTGCATTCAATCCTCGCCGTATTGTGTTCTTTGGTCTTCCTCTTTTCCGTTTCCCTTCAGGAATCCAAGTTAGGGCTTGCCTCGTGATGCAGTTGGTGATTTCCGTAATGTATATCTTATCCACTTTCAACGTCTTTTCCTAATTTCCTTCTCAGCTGGAAGTTAGTTTTTCCTCTCTCACAATAGGCTATTGCTAATAGTATCTGGCCCTCATTTTTAAATAACTATCGTGTTTTGTCAATTTTTAGAGATTATCAAATGTCATATTTGATGTAAACTATTTTATACGTCAGTTTTACTAACAACTAATATCACAGCATATGTATGATTCAAATTCTAGATTAATAATATACTCTATTTCACAGATTGAAATCATGAGTCAGTTGAAGCTAGACCACCATTGAAAACCTGGAAGCACTGGACGGCCAACTCGTCCTAGTATGGGACTCCTCGGCAGTGCGCATCCACGATCCCGCACCACGCGGGGCTCGAACCCATGACCTACTGGCTTCGCGCGCGAGCACTTAACCATTAGACCACTGAGCCGGCTATTCAACGGTGTTAATGTCTAACTTCAACCAATCCACGAAGTTGCGCTACCGTACACCATTGTCCTCAGTGAGTTCCTATCTCACAACAGACCTGGTTGAACTCCACTGGTATCGACTTCTCACTAGAACTCCAGAAGTGTCTCCTGAAGTCAGTCACTAGTGAGCAGGTGATTATTATTATCAGAATGGGTTTTGTGGAGATTTTAGAAATTTCACAGATTGAAATCATGAGTCAGTTGAAGCTAGACCACCATTGAAAACCTGGAAGCACTGGATGGCCGTTTCGTCCTAGTATGGGACTCCTCAGCAGTGCGCATCCCATACTAGGACGAAACGGCCGTCCAGTGCTTCCAGGTTTTCAATGGTGGTCTAGCTTCAACTGACTCATGATTTCAATCTGTTAAATATACTCTATGTTTGACAGATTCTAATTTCTTCGATTCATATTTATTAAAAATTCTATAGAATACATTTTTAACCGTTTATCATTATGAATAATATTGACCTTGTATATTTAGTTCAAGTATTTTGTATTGAGAAATTTAAACAATTGAAGCGGTACTCGACTAATGACGAAATTAATAGTTAACTCCTTAAATAATAACAATAATAAAAAGTGAAAATATGTGAAAAATAATAAAGGTCATAATAGCGGGACCATAATATTTATCAACTATATACGAGAAAAAAAGCAAGAGGATAAAGTATGGAGTGAACTATTATTCCCCTTTCGCTTTCTTTGTTACAACTAAACAAAGTAGGTTATATCACAAAAGAATTGGGTGAAGCTAATGCATATATATACATATATATATGCCATTCAGTCGCTCCTTCTTTGAAAATAGTTAAACGTTCACCGTTTGTCGGTACTTTAACA